CGCAGATCATCACGTTGCTGAAGCTGCTGGCGCCGCCCTCGTTGAAGCACTGCATCTTGATGTCGTACGAGGTCTCCGGCTGCAGGTGGCCAATCATATGCCACTGCCTGGAACCTGCGGGGACAAGGGCGAATCGGCACGGACAGCCCAGCGCCAGCCCTGGCCACTAGCCGGAGCGTTCGTGCAAGTAGAGAGCCTCGTGTGGGTGGGTCAGTGACACGCCACGGGCGGACAGTGTGTCTAGCATTGTGGGCCACAGGAGAGCGATTTCGGGGAGCTGGGTTGGAGCTGCAGCTGAGCTGGAACCACCTGTCGGAGAGGTGAGCAGGGGCCTTTGCCATTAGCCACATGCCAGCCCACAGCGGCAGGTCACCTCTGCCTCGGGACGGCGGACAGTCCCGCAGTTGCTCTCTAAATGCGTCCCCGCAGGCTGCACCCACAGGGTAGACCCACCATGGACCGGAGCCTGGAAAACACCGCCATCACCGGTTCTGGGCACATACAGACTGACCTCGCCACCCTGCGCGGCCCAGCAGTCCTGGTAGGCTATAGGAGGCGGCCCGTGAGCCAGAGGTGGTTTGAAACGCGGGCGGACGTGTGGAGGCCTGGCCCTGCTACACCCTCTTGGGGGTCGGCACCTGTGGGGGCCTGTTCTGCCTGTGGGTACCAGGAAGGGCTCCATGGGGACGGCACAGGGCGCAGTACCAGGGCAGTGCCAGCTCCGGCGGGCCTAGGGGGAACGCATGCCACGAGACCCTCCTGCACTGCTCCTGCGGCTGCTCCTGCGGCTGCTCCTGCAGCACCAGTGTCCCCAAGCTCTGACCCTCCTCCACCCGCGCACGGCCGGCCTCTCGCTGAGAAACGCACGCTGGCCGGGGGCAGGAGGGCCGCGCTGCGTCTTCATGTCCGTGAACTGGCAGCCACACACCTAAACGGGACATTTGGGCCAGACTTCACTACCCCCTGGGCACGCTTACCCCCCGGCCCGCCCTGGGCTGCCCCCACCATTCTCAGAGCTGGAGAGCACCATCGGCCATTTTGGGCGCTCATGAGGGGAGGGAGCAGAACCTGCCCAAGTCCCAGGTCCCTGGCTGACGGCACCCACGCCCCCGCCCTTCCTAGAAGCCCTGCTCCAGTCCCCGGCACGGAGCCTCTGCTCACACGGACCCGCATTCCTTAGGAAAGCCTGTACACCTCCCTGAAGGCGTCCACATCCCCCGGCCTCGGTCTTTGCTGACGTGGCCCCATGCTGGCCTCTTGCCGACTCCTCGCGAATAACCCACGGCTCCTTTCACAGCCTAGTCCAAGTAGAGCACTGCCTCCTGACTCGGGGAACAATGTGGGGTCTACCTGTCTGGTTAGATCAGCACCCCGTCTTCGTAATTCTCCCAGTGGCCAATCACAGCGGGTACCAGCAAAGAAAGGCGTTTTCCTACTCATTAGTGAATGAGCCACGGTCACACTCGGGCCTGTCACCGCCAGCCAGCGGAGCCATCTCCTTTCCCGAACAGGCAATTGTTTTCCCGAAGGTCATTTTAGAGAAGGGACCAGCAGACAGTGCGGTGGCTGCATCGCGGACTTCCACGTAGTCGTCTGCGGGTCGCGTCCCACGTTTGGCAGCTTAAACCTCATGCCGGGCTCGTGTGCATGCCGAGATCCCAGGAGGACAACGGAGAAAGGAAGGCGGCATGGCCTCCCCCCGGGGGGCGGGGGTGATTGCTCGCTTTCTGTCACGACCGACTTAAAGACCAGAATGACTCTGGGATTTATCTGGAACCTGACTCAGGGTTACAAGGTACACACGCACCCACTGGCACCTGGGCGGCAAACTGCCGGTTTACCTGACGCAGGCTGAACTCAGAAGACGCCTCCGGCCACCCAACTGCCCTTCTCTGACCGCACTCGTAAAATCTGAGTTTCACTTTTTCTTCAAAAGCTTAAGTCTTTGGTGCATACACAAAACTAGTCTAAAACTTTTAAAGAAAACCTCGAGTACATAAGACGGGTACTTCTGTTCCTGGGTCTGAGAGAGCAGACTGAGAGGTTCCAGCTACCACAGAAATGGTCTCAAAGGCAGAACCCCGAAAATCGGAAATCAGCCGACACAGCGCAGAGGGGCTGCTCCTGTGGCTCCCGCTCAGCCTGTGGCTAGACAAGTCCTGTGGGCCCTCGGGCAAAGCACATGCGTGTGCACACTGCTACGAGCCAGAGCAGCCTCTCTAAGCTCAGTTTCTAGTTCATGCTTAAAATTCGTATCACGGGGGACCAGCAGTCAGCGTAATGGCTATGTCGCTGGACTCCCATGTAGTTGTCCACGGTTCACATCCCGGACCCAGTGGCTTAAAACTCACGCCGGGCGCGTGTGCGTGCGTGCCCAAGATCCCGAGAGAATGGAGGAGAAGGGATTGCAGCGTGGCCATCCCCCCGGGGGGGGGGGATTTCTCACTTTCTGTCTCTCTGTCTGTCTGTCTGGCGAGCGCATGCGCCCTATGGCGAAAACCTCTCCCCCCCTCAAAAAAAAATTTGTATCATGGAACTTCCTAAGAGCTGAAAGGTTTGCCTAGAAAATATGGTTTAAACTCTGCTCACCAGGATGGCTCCGGAGGACAGAACGGTGGGGGTGCGCGGGCGGAGCGAGACACAGGCGGGCACCCATCTCTTCACACTTGCCTTGCTTAGAACCCGTTTGTAACTATTTTTAACCTCAAAAAATTAAAAATAAAACTCTGGCATCCCCACCCCTGTGCAGCCGAACCAGAATGAAGCTCTCACAGGATCCCATGCAGAAAGGCCTCTCTCAATCATTTCACCATGCTTGAAAACGACCTCACTTTACTGAAATAAAACGCACACACACAACTGTAGAGCTCAGTGAACGAGCCCACACCGAGCACCCCGAGGTGCTGCGCCAAGACGCCCCCACACGGCTGCCTCCTGGACCTCCACGGGCACAGAGGTGCTGCCCGAGGCAGAGGGCAGAGGAGGGAGTCACTCCTCTCTAGAGGCGCGATCACACCTCGCAGGGCTGAGCGTAGGTTCAGAGCGCGAGCCCACGTGGCATCTGCACAGTGACCACTAGGAGACGGTAAATGGACACTCTAGTACCCGGTGGGCGGGGCACACCCGAAGTTACTTATTAGAAAAACTATTCACAGGATGTGACACGAGGAAGTCATAGAAAGTGACTGTGGCCCGGGGCAGCTCTCGACCCTGATTTGATGGAACATTTAATATTTCAGAGTCAGACTTCCAGAGTGAAAACGCCCTTGGACGAAGCTCCCCGCTAACGCATGGCCCGGATCAGAGCGTCAGGAGGACCAGACCCCGGCTTCTACTGAACACTGCCAAATCGAATCAGGCGTCCACTTCCGCGTGAGCGCCTCGGCCGGAATGCCTCTTGGGGCCAGGCGGGGTCGCTGCAGCAACACACAGAGCTCTGCAAGGCAACCCCACAGACAGCCTAGTTCGAGGCCAGAGGCCTCCCAAGTACGCCAGGCGGCGTCGCCCACAGTCTGGGGCTGGCTGGGACGGGCGGGCCCCAGCATCAGGACACCCCTGGTGCTAGCTCTCTGACTCTCTCTGGTTCTGTCTTTTTCTCTGTGTCTCTTTCTCTCTGTCTCTCTCTGGTTCTTTTTCTCTGTGTCTCCTTCTCTCTGTCTGTCCCTCTCATGGAAAAAATAAACTTCTTTTTTTTTTTTTTGAGAGATTTTTGTTATAGGGCACGTGAGCTCGCCAGACAGAGAGAGAGACAGAGACAGAAAGCGAGAAATCACCCCCCGGGGGGATGTCCACGCTGCAATCCCTTCTCCTCCATTCTCCTCTTGGGATCTTGGGCACGCACGCACACGCGCCCAGCGTGAGTTTAAGCCACTGGATCCGGGACGCGAACTGCGGTCGACTACATGGGAGTCCAGCGACAGAGCCATTATGCTAACTGCTGGTCCCGGAAATAAACTTTAAAATAAACTTTTAAAACACCATGGAAAAGAGTTCTTACCCTGCGTACTTATAACCCCACCTCCCACTGTGCCTGTCTCTCCCACACAGTGGCCTTAAAGACAGAGGGGCTGGCCTTGCGCCTAGAGGCTCAGGGGCTGCAGCATGACTGCCCACTGAGGGTCGTCCTCCCTCTCGCTCCCTCCGTCCCTCTGGTGAGCACACCTCGCCGGTCGCTGGCAATTAATACAAAGCTGTGCAGAGCACCGCTGTGTCGCTTTGCCAGTGGGACTGACCTTCCACGACGTCCCTCTTGTAATCGCTGTCGTTGTCACTGTCCGTGGGCCGGTAGTAGATGTAGAACCCCTGGATGGGGGTGTTGTTGTTACTCGATGGGACGTACTGCAGACAGAAGCAGGCTGGTCACGGCACAGACACGGCTACCGGCCACGTCCGTCCGCGCCCACGCTCACGCTTCTAGCTCGTTCTGGAACATTCTCAGCAGCGTCTCAGCTTCATTCAAAGGCCCCGAGAACACTTGGGCTGCCTCGGGCACACAGGACAGCAAAGCCCGTCTGGCCCAGGGAGCAGACGGCGAGTTAAAGCTGAGGTGTGTCCTGGTGTGTTCAGGGAAGCCATGCTCTAAATCTATCTCCTAGACTCCCAGAATATTCAGACAAGAAGCCATGTTATTTATTTGCGATGCACGTGGACGAAAGCCAAGGAGAGGGATCTTTTCTCAGCACCGCCCCCTCAGGAGGAAGGGGCCCAACACCGGCACCCCTCGCCTTCCTCGCTGGCCAAGAGGACTGGCCCAGCCATGCGGAGCGATCCGAGATGCACTCACCGTCCACTTGAGCATGATCTGCGTGTCGCTGACGGCCTCCGTGTACGCGATGTGGGGTCCCGTGACCGGGCGGGCAGAGAAGCGGCCGGGGAAGCCAGCCACCTGGTAAGGACGGGATGCCGAGCTCCGGAAGCTCTCACCGTGGTGGTTGATGGCGATGACCCGGAATTTGTACGTCGAACCTTTGGGCAAAGCACAGACCAGACAGACAGCACACTGAGATGGTGGAGCAGCGGGGCGTCCAGCCCATGGACACTGGTGCCCGGCGGTAAGAGTGGCGCTCACGAGCCATCCGCAGGCTCTAGCCACGGGCCAGTCAACCAGGAGTGGGTGTGGCCGCCCCGTCAGCATCCCAGGGCCTGGTGGGGGTGCCAGGACAAAGCACTATGAAGATGGCTGCTGGCCGTGAGGCTGGGCGGGGGGGCGGGCACCTGCTCCTCCACCCTCCCGTCC